TGTGATGGTCTCAGCTTTCAGTCTAGGACTCAGTTCCCTCCAGCCCAATCCCAGTCTCCCAGTTGAGTAAATTCAGTGGTTACTGGGACCCTTGGGAAGTTCATTTGGAAACCCCAGATTCCCCCAGGTTTACCAGATCCCCATTTTGGTCCCACTGCCTGAGACCCTAGCAGGTGGCAGAATGAGCAAATTTAGACAGAAAGAGCCTGCCTGGGGCCAGGGAGGTGGGGGAAACGGGGTTCCTCCACAGGCTTCAGGGATTATCCCCCTTTTCTGGCCCCAGGAGGTACGGGAGGCTGGGAGGGGCCGGAATATCATCTGCCTGCATCTTTTATGGTTCCTCATTGCCCTTCATTCGGAAATGAAACGCCTTTGATCTTTTTCTCAAGTTGTAAACGGAATTGCCCATCATTAAATATCTGGGGCCCCATCTGTTTGGTCTCCCAGCATTTTTCTTTACAGCTGTTTCTCTCTCTTTTTACCATTGAATTTTTCCAAAAGGACTTTTATGACACCTCCTTCACACCCAGCCGCCTCTGCCTCCTCCCTTCGCCGAGAGGCGCCTTGGAAAATATCTAGATACTCGTTTGATGGCAAACTAAAAGGCTGCGAGGGGCACGGAGGAGCTGATTGGGGTTTTGTTTTTCTTAAAAAAAAAAAATAAAAGTCCTTGGGGGGAGGGGAGGGGCGCGAGGGCACCCAGAAGGGCCTGATTCTGACTTCGCTGCAGCCTCAGGATGACCCTTCCTCCTTTTGTGCTTAGCTAATGTTTACATCTCATAATTCATGCGCCGCCCAGGGTTGTGCGGCGGCCCCGAGGTTCGCGTCCCTTTGCGGGACCGGCTGCTTCTATTTCTGATAGAAGAGAAAGAGAGTTGAAAACCTTGTAATCCCTAAAATGGACCCGCAGTGTCTTTTCCTGCTCCCAGAGCTCAAATGTAGAACAAAACGAAATAAAATCAAAGCAATGAAACTACACCCCAAACGAAGAAGGCGCGGAAAGTAGGAGAACTGGAAATTTTCTGGGCCAAGAAGATCTGTCTGTCTTCTGTATATACCCTGTAGATCCGAATTTGTGTAAGGAATTTTGTGGTCACAAATTCGTATCTAGGGGAATATGTAGTTGACATAAACACTCCGCTCATTTGTTTTCCCCGAAGAATTTTTTTTTCCCAAAAAGAGGACCATCCGATGACTGACTGCTCGAAGACTCCTTCCTCTTTTTTTTTTTTTTTCCCCCTTCCTCCTTCTTTTCCTTCCTCATTGGTTAGGGATGGAGGAATCATCTACCTGAAATTTCCCATGCCTGCCCCTGGAAGTCTTGGTCCCTTTTCACTTTTCTTAATAGGTTAATATTGGTGGTGGTGATGTTGTGTCTTCTCCTCCAAGCCCACTTATTCTCTATTCTGGGATCAGGGAGGCTTTACTGAGAATCCGGAAAAAATGACTATTGTCGTCAGTGTGAGAAGGCAAAGAAAATCGTTTTTCAAACGGATGTTGAGGTCGCCTTTTCGTTTGGGATCCAAACAAGATGCCCTGGAAATATGCAATTACCAAGGGGTGTTACTGTTTGTGGGGGTCATCCTAGGGCTCCTACCCTCAGCAACAGAAGGATGTGGAGATTTCTGTTCACTGCAGAGGCAGCCGCATTAGCGGCAATTAGAACGTCTGGACACCGTGGTTAGCACTGCTCGGGTGGTTCTGGAATTAGCAAATTGCTATTCGGTGTGCTCTGAAAAGTTGCAGGATTTTTACTCCAACACTCGTGTTCAGTGTGGGAAACCAAGTCGTTTCTTCCGGCGTGGGCCGTGTGGGGCAAGGGGAAAGGAGTGGATAAGAGAGGGGAACGGAAGGACTGACTGACACAGCCAAACTAATAGCGCAGCTAAATGCGATTTGGAAGGCGAGGTCTCCCCGAATTAGTGCATGAATTTCCTATCGATCCGCCCGCGGTTCCATTCATCTCTGACAAGTCCCTCCTGCACCCGCCTGCTTGCTCCCGACGCCTCCTCTCTCACTCCCTACCCCTCCCCAGGCGACTGCGGAGAAAAGCCCGCTGCTCAGTGCCCTCTCGCCCCCCATGTGGGTTCACCTCTCTAGGCGGAACCCCCAGTCTGCCCCTCACTTAACTCCCCACCCAGACTCCTGGGCTCCTTCCCGTCGTGAGGAGGGGATGGGGGCCTCTGGGAAGCAGAGGATGCAGGGCGGTGAGGCGGGACAGGAGGGGGCTGCACCGAGAGCCCCAACTTCCGAGGGGATCCAAGGATTGTTCTCTGCCCAGCGCCCCAACAGGCCCTCCGGCGGCACCCTGCCCTCTTCCTCTCATTCTCTCCCCCTCTTTTTCTCTCACTCTTTCTCCGATCCGGGAGAGAGCTAGGCGAGGAGGCGGTAGCCCCGCAGGAGCCCTATGTAAATCCTGGTGTTGGGTGGGTGGGGAGGGGGAAAGAGAAGAAGGGGAAATAAACCTCTTTGGCTGGAGTAGGGTCCGGGTGAGCAGATTTCCTTATCCGGGAATCGCAGGCGGGGCGGCCATTGGCTCCGAGGATCACGTGGGCCCCTAACTTTGTTCACTTGACAGTAAGTAGGAGGGCTTTCGGAAACAGGAAAACGAGTCAGGGGTCGGAATAAATTTTAGTATATTTTGTGGGCAATTCCCAGAAATTAATGGCTATGAGTTCTTTTTTGATCAACTCAAACTATGTCGACCCCAAGTTCCCTCCGTGCGAGGAATATTCACAGAGCGATTACCTACCCAGCGACCACTCGCCGGGGTACTACGCCGGCGGCCAGAGGCGAGAGAGCAGCTTCCAGCCGGAGGCGGGCTTCGGGCGGCGCGCGGCGTGCACCGTGCAGCGCTACGCGGCCTGCCGGGACCCCGGGCCCCCGCCGCCTCCGCCACCACCCCCGCCGCCCCCGCCACCGCCGGGGCTGTCCCCTCGGGCTCCTGCGCCGCCGCCCTCCGGGGCCCTCCTCCCGGAGCCTGGCCAGCGCTGCGAGGCGGTCAGCAGCAGCCCCCCGCCGCCTCCCTGCGCCCAGAACCCCCTGCACCCCAGCCCGTCCCACTCCGCGTGCAAAGAGCCCGTCGTCTACCCCTGGATGCGCAAAGTTCACGTGAGCACGGGTGAGTGCGTGGGCACCCCTTCCCCCTCCCACCCCCGGTGCTTTACACCGAGGGGACCTCGGAGGCATGGGGCGGGGGGAGCTGAGGGAAGCCAATTGTCCCCGCTATAAACTCGCCATTGCCGGAGATTTACGGTCGCCTGTTTTCAGAGCCACATAATTACATCCCCCATAAATTTTTATGGCCTGGTGGGCCCCGCGCCTTTGAAGTCGGTTCCCCCATCCTCTTTGCCATTCTCACCAGCGACTTTTCGCCAGGGAGATGCAGTCTTCAGTGAAGTTGCAAGCTGGGGAGGGGTGTGTGGTGGGGGAGGAGAAGGAGGAGGAGGTAATCTGTATTTGAGGGGAGAGTTGAGTCAACTCTCAGTATTTATTTTTTCCTTTCTTTCCTCTAGTCGGGCTCCTTGGCTCCAGAAGTGGGCAAAAGTTTTTACTGGGGTCAGGCGCTACATGGGATCTGAGCACAGAGGGTGGGAACTAACAGAAAAAAGGTTTAGGGAAGCCCCCTCCCTCTTTCACCCCTCGTTCTCCCATCCCGGGCCCCAGGCCAAGGGGGCAGAGAGGGGCGGTTAAAACCTTGTGAAGATTCCTCACTCCCCCCACCCCCTCTCCAGACACCCAAACAACAACGTGGAGACAACACAACCCTCCAAAACTTTGAGGTCTCTTTCTCTTCCTGGGGGCCCCCGCTTTCTTCCCTTTGCATCCCCACCCCCCTCCGGAGGAAGAAGAGGTGGCGGGAGAGGGAGGGAGGGAGACGCGGTGTTAGCTGGAAGAAAGAGCTCTCCCTCCTCCCTTTCGGGGCAATAAAACTTTCTCTTTCTCCCTCTCTCTGTGTGTGTCCAGTAAACCCCAATTACGCCGGCGGGGAGCCCAAGCGCTCTCGGACAGCCTACACTCGCCAGCAGGTCTTGGAGCTGGAGAAGGAATTTCACTACAATCGCTACCTGACGCGGCGCCGGAGGGTGGAGATCGCCCACGCGCTCTGCCTCTCCGAGCGCCAGATCAAGATCTGGTTCCAGAACCGGCGCATGAAGTGGAAAAAAGACCACAAGTTGCCCAACACCAAGATCCGCTCGGGTGGCACCGCAGGCGCAGGCGGAGGGCCCCCTGGCCGGCCCAACGGAGGCCCCCCCGCGCTCTAGTGGCCCCCGTGCGGGAGCCAGGAACCTCGGGGCGGGTGTGGGTTGTGAGCGCGGGGAGGGGGGGCGGGGGGAGAAGCGGGAGGGGACCCTGGGGCCTGGGTCCGCCAAAACCTACCTGCCCTCCCCCATCCACTTTATCTATTTACACGAATAAACGCAGAGGAGGGGGAGGGGAAGCTTTATTTATAGAAATGACAATAGGGAGCCCGGTGAGGCCCCCCCAGAAGCAAGGTTCAAGTCTCTTGCTTTCTTCCTTAAAAGAAGAAGGAGAAGAAGAAGAAAAAAAAAGAAAGAAAAGGAAGAAAAGGAAGAAGAAGAAGAAGAAGAAGAAGAAGAAGAAGAAGAAGAAGAAGAAGAAGAAGAAGAAGAAGAAGAAGAAGAAGAAGAAGAAGAAGAAAGAAGAAGACAGAAAGAGAAATAGGAGGAGGTTGCACTCCTCGCTTTCAGCTTTGGCGAAGATGGATCCACGTTTCATCTTTAATCACGCCAGGCCCAGGCCCATCTGTCTTGTTTACTCTGCCGAGGAGAGGACGGGCCTCGGTGGCGACCATTACCTCGACACCCGGCTAACAAATGAGGCCCGGCTAGGCCGCCGCCTCTGCTGCTGCCGCCGCTGGAAGACAGCCTGGATTTTCTTTCTTTGTCCCCCATTCCTGACACCCAGCGAAAGCACCCTGTGACTGCCAGATAGAGCAGTGTTTTGGCCACGGTAACACATACACACACACATACCCTCCTCCCCTCCTGTGCCCCTCCACAGGCACACTGACTTCTCACCCCCCTTGCACTGCTGGGCTGGGCTGGGGGGCAGGGCAGCAGGAAGGGGACAAGTGGAGGCAGGGGTGGGCTTGGCAACAGCAGGAGCAGGCAGGGAAGTTGAGTCCGAGGAAAAAAAAAAAGAGAGAGAGAGACCCACTCGGGAGGGCCTTTCTTCTGCGAGGTCAAACCATTTGGCAGAGCAAGGGGCCAGTTGAGTTCTGGGACCTGGGGGCAAGCCTCTTGCCAACGTAGAGTTGTACAGCCCCCGGCCTTCTCTCCTAGACTGCAAACGAATGTGAAACTAGCAAGTCAAATATGGTGCCCCTCCCGGTCTGGGAGACGATGTTGTGAAGACCTCTCCCATAGTTTATCATTGTTTTACATTATTATTATTATTAATTATTAATTATTATTATTATTATTATTATTTTATGTCCATGTGCGTCCTCTCTCCTGTTCTCTCTCTGACATTCCAAACCAGGCCCCTTTCTAGTTCTGGGGCTGCCTGAGTCTAGAACCCTTCGTTGGCGTGAAAATTTGTGTCCTGTACAGAGTGACAATAGAAATAAATGTTTGGTTTCTTGTGACCAGCACGGCGTGTTTTTGTTGAAACCTTGGTATAAAGATACAAATGCCACCCAGCGTTTATGCTAAGCACCCCAGTCCATTGGCCTCACACTAGATGTGGTTGAGGATTTTTTTTCAAAGGGTCCAAGGGGACTTTCAAGCTCAGAGGACTCCAAATTGTGGTAGCTCGTGTGTTTTCCTTTTGGGGTGGGTGTGTTTTGTTTGGGGCTTTTAATTTTTTTCCCTTCAGTCCAAAAATGGATTGAAAGTACTGGGCGGGCTGACTCCAATCCCTGATGGGGGGGGGGATGTTTCATTGTAGGACACGAGAGGCTTAAGTATGGCAAGGCTTTCATATCGTGATTTATTTGTCATAAGCAAATAAAATGCGGTTAAGCTGTCTCTTTCTAGACAGACGACTCTTTGCTTATTAAGGTTCGGAGGGAGGATTCTGCGAGGCCGGCCTCTTTCCTCCCGCCTAAGAAGGTATCGTTTTCCTCTGAGGTGTTTAAAGCTTTAATGAGTCTAATTTTTTGCACAGATGTTTCTGGGTGTTTGCAGGTTTTCAGAGTATTTTTATATTACAAAGGAGCTAGCCGGTGCCATAGCTCAAACTCTGACAAGCAAATAGATAATCAAGAAGACAAATGGCCTCTTTTGTGAAGCCCTGCTCCTGTATTAATTTTCATTTTCTTTCTCATAGAAAGTATCGAAAGTATGACTGGGGACCAAATAGCTTTCTGTCTCTGAGGTCCCAGTCACCCCTAGAATGGAGTGGGGGAAGGGGATAGGGGTGCCGATGACCCTCACAAGCTTTGGGGCAGCACCCAAGAGAAGTGCTAAGGTCTGAGGGCTCCAGCCTGGGGAGGGGGGTGGGTTTCTCTGGTCTTGTAGCAGCCGGGATACTGCCACCCGCCTCCAAAAAGCTTGGGACTCAAAAGAGCATCCGCAATTAAAAGTCGTTTCTTCGGTCGGTCCTGTCTCCCTCCAGAAAATAAACATAGCTGATTCTACCAGCGCGTTTTATTGTTATTTCTTTTGTATTCCTCCGGTTTGCAGCGCCCGGGAGTTTGAGGCTGGGTAGGGCCCAGGACACAGGGGCCCATGTCCACAGCGCGGGAAAGGGCCATAGAACGGCCCGTGGAAAGCTTCTGGAAGCCTCATAAAAAAATTGCCCAGACCTGGAGGCTCAGAGCGGCGAGCTTTGTTTCGGTGGAATCGCGGTGTGATGTTTAAGCTGCCCGGGGATGCGGCCGCCCTTAGTGGAGGGGGAAAATAGTTCTTAAAAAGCATATGCCCCCCCAGGAATGTCTCTATAGAACCAAATCAAAGCTGCTCCTTGGAAGGTATGAATAGAATAAAAAAAGATTTCTATGGAGCTTAAAGTTCACAGCCATTCTGTGTAGACAAGAGCTAAGAAAAATGTGAGAATTATACAGAAAACCATTAATCACTTCTTTTCTTTAAATACGTATCCTCTCTCCTTTGTTATTATTCAACAGCAAATCTCCGCAGACCGGCTGTTGGGGGAAAAAAGTGTTAGCTGGCTCTCCCGGATCTGCGAGGGGGAAAAAATTTGGAACCATAAAGTTGAAAACTTTTTTCTCTCAGTTTGGAAGCAGCCCTTCGTCATGAATGGGATTCGCGGAATTTGGGCCAGAGGAGGCGAGAGCCGCAAAGGTAACAAAGCCCCCGCCTGGGCTGTCTTTTTTTTTTTTTTTTTTTCTTGATCGTTTTATGAGCTCTTTTTACAAAGGAAAGAAGAAACTCTCTCGCCTCCTTCTTTTCCTTTTTCAACTTTCTTCGCGGGGTTTTTTATGGTGGATGCTTTGGTCAGATTTGTTGCCTTTTATGATGACAGATGCTTGGGTCAGAGGGAAAGCGAGGGGCCTCACACCTGGAGAGTGTTTGAACTGCTTGGGACTGAGGTGTCAGAGCCCCAGAAAAACCCCAGAGAACGTTGTTTGGGAGGCAGCTCAGAAGGGCTTTTCGGGTTTCGGAAAATGCAGGCGGGCCTGGAGAGCTCCAGCACGCGTGTGTGCCAGTGTGCGTGTTTTGGGAGATGCACATGTGGCCAGTGTGTTCTGTGACTTTGCTTGTCTACACTGGGGGCTTGTGTCCCTTATGTCTGTTTACCGGGGAGATGTCACTGCCGCCTCCTGGAAAAATGGAATGCAGTTCTTGGATGGAATGCCCCAGGCTTGGAGCTGGGTATGGGTAGATGTCTTCATTTTCTTTCTTTCTTTCTTTCTTTCTTTCTTTCTTTCTTTCTTTCTTTCTTTCTTTCTTTCTTTCTTTCTTTCTTTCTTCCTTGCGTCTAGCATGGGATTCTGGATAGTTATTTGCAACTCTGGAGCAGGAAACTGTTCCGTTTACAGGCAAGGTTCGTTGGTGCCAGAATCTTCCTCTTCAACTCTGCTTTCCCCTTCTTCCTGGAGGCTCAGTGCTCACTTTGGTTTCCTTTTGCTCTCTTGTTTTGGGGGTTCTGTTCCCCCTTTGTGAGGCCCTGCTTCTGAGGGCAAAGGAGCCAGTGGGCTCTGGCTCAGACCTGAAAATGTGCTGGCCCTTTTACCCTGGGGCTCACTGAGGGTTTGGAGGCAGGAGGCTAGCAGGAGAGAGAGTTCATGGAGAGGCCACGTTTTCTAGGCGATTAGCTCAGTATTAGAACCACAAAATGACCTCGGAAGCCCCTTGACCTCTCTGAGACTGGACAGTGTGCTGCTCCTGGCTCCTGACTGCTGCCCAGGAGGGAAAGTCAGACCTCTGCCGGGAGGGCCCCTCCCGGGCTGTCGTGTGGCCCACCTTCTGCATCTCCCTCTGGCCCCCAACCCCTTCTTTGCTATCTGGGAATCTCTGGATCGTTTTTCTGTGACTGTCCACTGGGGAGAAAAGGAGTAAAAATTTTAGCTCAGGGGTACAGATAGGGGAGGGAAACAGGGTGCTGATCTGGCCCTCTGTGTAGAACTCCTTTCCCAGGCCAGGTTCTAACCGCTCCCCCCACCCTGTCCTACTCATCCCTCCTTTCCTCCTCTTGGAGGGAGCTGAGGGAGGAAAGACAAAGGGAGGTGAAAGGAGAGGTCCACAGGGCTTCAGAGCGCTAAGGGAACAAGCCTCTGGGTTCTAAAGAGAGGGAAGCCCCACCACCAACAGTCCCTTGGAGGCTACTTTCTCTCCAGGTCTCAGAATCAAATCCACAGCTTCTCAACCCATTTTCTGAAGTTCCTTTAGGAAGCTAATCCTAGAGTTGCTTGTGCCCTCTTCCCCTAATCCCCAGTCCCACCCCAGCGACTCACAGAGGCCATGGATGCCTTCCCACCAGAGGAGCAAGAGAAGTGGGAGAAGGGTCAGGACAGGCTGTTCTGTCCATTTCCAGGAACAGCTCTGCCACATTAACCAAAGTTTTAGCAACTTATAATTTTAAGAGATGGGTGGAGAATTTGCTAACATGGAGCCTTTCCAAATCTCTATTCTACTCTGATTCATCTTAAAACCCACACCAGCCGCCGTTATTTTAGGAGGAGATAGAGAGAAAGAGAGACGACAGACAGACAGACAGACTCCAGCTGGGAAGAGAGGAAATGTTCCTTCAGTTAAAACTAGGAGAGACTGAACCTTGCTGGGATGTGTGTCGGGTACTGATTTGCATTTTGTAAATTGTCTCCTGTAACTTGGGGTCTCTAACTCAGGCAAGAAATAGCTAGTATCTGTTGGTACCATCTCCTTTGTCCCTGAGTGGGGGAATCCACGCAGGGGCTGGAGGTCTCAGGCAGAAGAGGGAATGAGTAGAAAGGGGGCTGGGCCGCTCCTGGGCTGCAAACGTTTGGGTCTCATGTCAGATGTGTACCCATTACTCATAAGGGCAGATAACCTATTGTGGGCCCTCTAGATGCCTAGGTGAGGAAGCTGTAGTCACCTGGGACTTTAGGAGGTGCTCTCTGCCATGTGAGGGGTCCATTAAAGGAAAAGAGGAAGGAAACAATGGAAGGGAAGTTTGGGGTTCATTCAAGGGTTTCGACCACTGAGGCAAGAGCTTCGAGATTTCCCTATTCCCTCACTCCCAGACCCCCAGTCTTTTCAGGGCTGAGCACCTCCAGCAGGCTCCCCAGCTGGATGGGCTCACCTTCTAGAATTCCAGCTGCACCCCTCATCTTTGCCCTCTCTTCCCTTCAGGTCCCTGGGCCCTTGCCGCTGGCCCTCCTACTTGCACCTCTGGGGACAGAAGGGCTGCCCCAGTCCTGCCCCAGTGCCAGCGAGCCAAGCCGGGACAGCAGCGCCGGTGGTGGGTCTTCCCTGGGAAGGGTGGCATGCTGGGGAGGGGAGTCTGGTTGGAAAACAGAGTTGGGAAGTTTCCCAGCGTGAGTTGAGCGCTGACGGATTTGTGATCAGCCATAAAACCGGAGCGTTCAGATTCGTAAATCAATCTCGCCTTTCTCGCAGAATGAACGTTCACTTTATCGGCAGCAAGAAAGAGCTCCACTCGCGCTCAGGCGCTTGTTTATTTGAACATGGACATTCCCAGGATCCGAAAAGAGTGTGGGCATTTTAACAGAACCTGTCTGGCGTGCCTTCCTGCCATTCTGCTGTTTTCTTGTCCTTAAAGACAATTTCTCGGTTTCAGAGATTGCTGTCTTCCCATGCTCCTGCCTATTTCTTCCCTCCTTTCTCCCTCTCTATCTCTCTCTGTCTCCCTCTTTTTTTTTTTCTTTCAGACTTTAGTGGACTGTGTTCTTATAGGGGACCATTTGTAATGGATCCGTGGCCAGGATCTTGCAAGGAGCTGCCGGGGCTGGAGCCAGGCTCAGGGCCCACATCGGGAGCAGGCTGAATTCAATACCAGTCTGTGTTTTGTATCTGGACAATCAAAGCCGACCACCCCCCTACAGAGTGCGGCCCTGCTGGCGCCCCACCCGGGCCCGTCAGGAGCAGGGATTCCGAGGAGAAGGCAGGGGCCGCTCAGCCGCCCCAGCTGGAACTTACCGGGGCCGGCAGGCAGGGTGGCTGTTTCTTTGGGGGGTTGGTAAGGCATCTGGGTCCTCAGCCACCTCCCCACTGAGTTGTTTTTGGTTTGGATCTTTCCAGACAAACCAGTGGTGACCCCTCGGCCCCTGCTCCCGTACCCTAAGCTGAATTTATTCTCCTACCCTGCCTGCTCTGACGGCGTAGGCCAGGCTGCGCCCGGAGCTGCTGAAGATAAGGCTGGGAATGTGCTGAGAGCGGGCGGCTTCTCCAGGAATGCCTTTTCTGCTCCCCTTTGCACTCCCACCCTCCCAGTGGCCCAGGACTCCAATTCTGGTTCTAACTGGTCTGCAAGTTCTGGGGCCAAGCTGTAAGTGAAGATTTGGGACATTTTTTATTTCGTTTTGTTTTGTTTTGTTTACATCTGGGACGAAGGCGTGTGTGTCCCTTTCTCTCTCTAGGCCTTAGGGAATGGATTGGTCCTATCATCCCTCTGTTTAACCCTTTATTATGAGATTCCTTCCCTACCCCCCAATCTTTTCCCATCGATCAGGCTCCATTGTCTGCTGATTGGGAGCTCAGGGTACTAACACCTGGGAAATAGGGACCCCGGGGCTGCCAGGCCAACTTCAAAGCTTCTTTCTTCCCTTTCCTTCCCCTCTAGTTCAAATCTTCAGCTGTCTTCACTGGTGTGTTGCGGGTGGAGGGGGTCACTGGGATGGGGTGTGACATAGGTAGACAGACACTGACTGTCCACTTCTTTTGTGTAGACACCTTAGTGTGGGATCTTTGTCTCTAGAGCGTATGCTCAGTTGGTCACTAGAATTTGATTCCCTGGGATGGTAATAACACAAGGGGCGGGGGGGGGGAATCCCCCTTGCCGTTATTCTCAGCTGTGAGAGCTCCCGAGTCATCTCCTCACCCTGTCCCTTTTCTGCCCCTTCCAGAGGTACCACAAAAGATCAGAAGGAGAATTAAACCCAGAAGCCCCATTCTTTACACATATGTAACTTGGACTTAACGAAGGGTTTCTTTTGAAGCTGGTCCCTTTAGAAAGGTTGTTGGTCTTTTAGGAAGGGGGGAGTGGGCCCCACTAAGATCAATATCCTAGGAGTGAGAGAGAGAATGGAGTTGGGGGGAAATCTTGAGCTTAGAGGATGCAGAGAGAAGTACTGGGAGCTGAGAAATCCAGGGGCTTGGAGCAGGGCTCTGCGCCCACCCCACCCCCACCCCCCAGACGCCCCTGCAGACTATTTCTGCACCTCCACGAACTAAGCAGAAGCAGGAGGAGAAGGGAGAGAGGAGAGGTGGGCTGTGGGTAAGTGTGTGTCTGGGGGCGGGGAGGTTAGGGAGCTATAGGTAGGGTAGGTATAGATGGGAACGTGGGAGAGAGGAGGAGAACTCACTACTCTTCCATCGGTGGGTTGGGGGGGAAAACCTATTTTGCAGGAAAATTTCTCCTCCTGAAGGGGAAGGTCACAGTGGTCCTTTGAGCCTGAAATCGAAAGACCCCCTTCCCCCTCCTGGTCACGTGATTCATTAAATAATTAATGCCGAGGTTGCAGAATAGATATGTATTTGTCAGGAAAATCGCAGCCTCGGTCTCCCTGTTTCTGACGTGCAATTCAACTGTCCTTTGAAAAACAAGCCTGTACCCCGAGAAAAAAAAAAGAGACAGGGGGAGAGAGAGGGAGAGAGAGAGAGAAAAAGAGAGGGAGGCAACA